TGGGCTGAATTTTTTTCTTTTAGAATCTGGAATATGTTCCATTCTCCTCAGCTGTAGAGTTTCCTGTGAGAGATCTGCTTTGCGTCTGATTGCCATTATTTTATATATCAGTTTTTTTTTCTTGTGCTCATTTAAGTATCGTTTCCTCATGTTGGATTGTAGAGAACTTAATTGTCATGTGTTGTGGTGAAGATTGCTTTTGGTCAATCCTGTTGGGAGTTCTGTGCCCCTCCTGGATGTTGTTTCCCAATTCTTTCTCTAGATTAGGGAAATTTTTTTATTATTTCATTAAATACATTTTTAAGCCCAGCTTCTTTCTGCACCTTCTGGGACTCCTATAACTCTTATATTTGGCCTCTTAATAGTGTCTTTCAATTCTTGAATATTTTTTAAGCTTCACCAAGCTCTACTTCCAAATTTTTGTTTGTTTGCCCCTGGTGATAGGAAATATTTTTCAAATTCTGAGATTCTTTCTTCTGCTCACTTGATTCTATTTTGGTGAATCTCCACTGACTGTCCTGCTAATTTGCTCCAGTGTTTTCTTATGTTATTTTTTATGTATTAATCCTAAAACCGTATTATTACTACATTTTCCTGGTTGAAAAATGGTTTTAGGCAGACTCCATGATGTTTATCAAGAATGGAAATCTGCTAAATGATTGTACTAACCACTAGACCCAGCAGTGTTTACTCCACATACCTATTCCTGTCACCAGGGCTTTCTCATAAGTTTGCTTTTTTTTGCAAGGAAATTAAAAGTGAACTATTTCCTAATACATAGTTGATCAGTTAGATATGCATCTATGAAAATTTTGTCAATATGACAAACAGAAATACCCATAGTGAAATTATTCATTGACAGTTATTTTCTAGTAAAAGAATAGAATTTTGTAGTTTTGAAATGTCATACTTATTGAATCTGACAATATTTATGGTGAAAGGAAATTTTGTCAGAAATCAGCCTAGAAATGTGTGGCAAAATGAACTGTGCAGAAGAGAAAGGTCATAATTCACAGTTTTGATGATATCCATTAAGTAGTCTTTTGCCTATATCCATTCTTTTTTGTTTTTTGTTTTTAACTTATTATTTTATTATTATCATTTTATGATACAGTTCCACAGGCCCTGGGACCTCTCTCATCCCCTTTCTAAGTCCCTTCTTTCTCCCCTCCCCCAACAGAGTTCCCCTGTATCACTACTACAATATAGCTCTTCATAAATAGTCATATGTCCATCATTGTGGGCATGGACAATGGCAGAGAGTGCAGCATCCCACTGACAAGAAATAGTTAACATTTTTATTTGAAGTCCATCTTTGATCTGAAAGCAGAGATGTGTACTGTACTGCATCTCCACATCTGGGCATGATAGACTCCACTGCACAGTCACCATACATCTCTGCAAATGAGAAGCCACAGTATAAAACCAAAAAGAGGAAGAAAAACAGAAATTTACAATGCCATGAACTCACACAACATGCCACTGGACATGATAGTCTCCACCACACAGTAATCATATATCCCCTCAAATGAAAAGACACAATAGCTCCTCTGTATTCTTAATTTCTGATACATCAGGTTTCACTTGATTCATTTCCTATGTGTGACATCTTCCTTAAATTCCTTGAACTCCTCTTTACATGCTTCTCATTGTTGATAAGAAGCTTTACAACAAGTGTTTTGAATTCTTTATCCCCCATTTTCTCGATGTGTTCCTGAATTAACTCTGAGATTGGCAAAGGCTGTTGTTCCTTTGCAGGGGAGTATTCAGTAATATACATTGTGCCTTTGTCTCTTCTTTTGCTCTTGGTCATTGTGCTTCTGGTTAGCAGATTCTTCTCCTTGGGGCAAGTTTCTAAGCTGTGTCACCACAGGTCTACAGTTCGATTTTACTTATTAGGCTTGGTACGCTCCCTTTGTCGGCAGTCACCTTTGCCACTCCCTGTAGTGAGTTCCAGGTCTGGGTTCTTATGTTAGATTTCCACCATGGTCTCTATAGTACCAGCTCCTTACTCATCTTTCTCTACCTCCTGTGAAATAGTGCTGAGGCTTCACCATTGTCTGTACAAGCTTTCTCCCACTTCTGGTTGGAGCAGGTCCCAGGAATAGGGAAATACCAGGAGTCCCATTAAGGTAGGTTGTTGGTGTTGCTGATCTTGCTGGAACCTGTTGGCTGTTAGGTCTGAGGGCCACATGGATCTGTTTTGACCTGTTTGCTACCATAGTTGGTATTATATTCCCTGTGGGACCAGTGCAGTGCACTGAGCTCAGTGAGTTCTTGTGAGCTTAGCACATGCACAGCTCACTGTTGTCTCTGTAGTCCTAAAACTTTTGTTTTCCACACTGTACAAATTGGTGCCTGGAGCCTGGCGGTGTGGCCTAGTGGCTAAAGTCCTCGCCTTGAATGCGCCAGGATCCCATATCAGCGCCGGTTTTAATCCCGGCAGCTCCGCTTCCCATCCAACTCCCTGCTTGTGGCCTGTGAAAGCAGTTGAGGATGGCCCAAAGCTTTGGGATCCTGCACCTGCGTGGGATATCCAGAAGAAGTTCCTGGATCCTGGCTTCGGATCGGCATAGCATCGGCCGTTGCGCTCACTTGGGGAGTGAATCATCAGACGGAAGATCTTCCTCTCTGACTCTCCTCTCTCTGTATATCTTTCTAGTAAATTAAATCTTTAAAAAAAAACAAAAAACCAAAAAACAAAACAAAAAAAAAACAAACCAAAACCAAAACCAAATTGGTGCCTGGTGTGCCACTACTAGAGTTCTTGATCTGCTGGAGGTCAAGTCTGAGGGCTACCTGGACCTGTCTTGGTTGGAACCTGAAGGATGCCACATTGTTGCAATTCACTACACCAGAAATGAATTCACTTCTAGCTCATTGCATGTGCAGTCCTGTTCCATAGCCTTTGGCTCCCTGCACAAAATGGCACCTGATTCAGCTCTAGGAGGCACACTGGGTTGTGAAATCCATCCTCTTCCCACACCACCCATCTGGGACCTGCTGCTTCGACTGTGCTCCTGGTCAAATCAAACAGACCAGCAGGACGAGCAGTTTTTTGTTTGGGTTCACCTCCTGAGTTCCCCGTGAATGTTCCTTCACACATTGTTGCTGGTGGAGTTCGGCCTGCAAGTGGAGTTCAGATTGCCCCTCGCTGAATCTTGCTGGGGTATTGGTCACTGCAACACCACACCGTTGTGTCTGCTGCTTTCCTGTGTCCATTAGCCTCCAGGTGCCTCTCTGCTGTACTGCCCTCTCCTACTTCCTGGAATGTGCCCTCTCTGCTTCGCACTGGCTAATGTTTCTCCGTCCTTATCGTAATCCACCATCTTGATTTACTAAGAAACTAAGGGAAAGAAGTGATGGATTTGACATGTGAAGAATTTAAAACCTGTCTTTTGAATTTCCTCTTACATTTGCTTTCATTCAACTGCAGTTTCTAATTGGTTTGAGGCCAGGTATTGGACTGAGGCTTTTAATGAACTCTAGGGAGGCCCAAATCCCATGCTCTGTGTCTGAAATCAATTCTTAAATTGAAAAACTAAAGAGAAGCAAAAAGTTTGTGGTTTCACTGAATTTTTTTTTGCTATTATGTGAAATTCAAATACTGAGACCATTTTGATATTCTTGTGCTAGCAGACTGTACCCTACTGTAGTCAACAGTTTAATAATTGTGTTATTTGAAAAATAAACCTAACCAAAGAATAAGTATGTTGGGATAAATTCACTTCCCATTAGTGAAAAAGCAGACTTCACGGAGTAAGCATGTATGAGATAATAGTTGTAAACTTTAGCCAGGTATTCAACAACTCTTGAGTATTTATTTAGAAGCAATTCTTAGGGTGATCAGTAACATCCAAGAGTTGTTTAGAGAAAATAAAATACCTTGGACAGCATGAGCATAATGAGCTGGAAATTTGGACGCTAGGAAATGTCTAATATTTAATAAAGGTGAGTATTAGGGCTGAAACAGTTGATGGTTTCCTTCTAAAAGTCATCCTGGTGAAAAATGTTTGGCATAGAGTCTTTTTTATGTTGTTTTGCCTTCATTACTGTTGTGAAGTTGGGTTAATTAGACCTTTGCAGCCCTTTCACAATACACAGTGGATTTTTCCAAGTTATGTTTTGATGAGGTAAAAGCAACTTTTGGACTGCAGTTGAAGTTCTACAGAAAGAGTGTATTGACACTGGCTGAAACGCAAATCAAGACTTTTTACAGTGTTTATATGTTGTAATAATTTAGTGCCTTGACGTTTTGGTGTATTCAATAGTGTTTTGCCTGGTGTGCATTCATCCCCAAGACAATGATCACTGGCTTCTACATCTGCAAACTGAAGAACCAAATTCTGTTTTATGGTATGCTTACCAAAATCAGTGCTACTTTGTTATGCCTCTTGGAAGTCTCTCTTGGACTTTTGTTTTGTCTTTAATTTTTAACAAGGGTTTTAAAAAAACAATATTATTTTAGCTTTTTAAAATAAATAAGCATATTCAAAGTTAGATTAGTTGTACCAGGTTTTGTTTTTTAGTGATTTTTGAATGAGAAAAAACCAGGCAGATAGAGTTAGAGCAAGAGAGGGCTCCCACCATTTGTCTACTCCCCAAATGCCCGCAGTGGCCATTGCTGCAGTGGGCTATTGCTTCAGCCAAGGGCCAGGAATAGAACCCAAGTATCACACATGAGTAACACGAACCAAAAACTTGGGCCATCACTACAGCCTTCTAGGGTTTGCATTATCAGGAATTGGTTTTGAGAAGCTGGAGCCAGGAATGGAACCTCATGCTCTGAGGTGGGACACAGGCATCGTAACTCATCTCTTAACCCTCAGATCAGACACGGACCCTGCACAGGGCACTTCAATTTTCATAATTTTCTTTTTTGAAATAAAACTTGTGTACTTTTAGTGTTGACTGAATATTTACTTGTCATTTGAAAAAGAAAATAAAATTTAAAAATTTATACAACCAATTTATTTTTACCTTTATCTTTTGTTTTTTAGTTTACAAGAAAGTATGTTAAGATCCCATTTCAAGGTAAGCTTTTATTCTTTTATAATCTTCATTCCTCGTTGTAATTTTGACTATCAAATGAATGTAAAGATTTTGAAAAAATTTTTAAAGTTTTATTTAGTTTTTGTTGGAAAGGCAGATTTACAGAGGGAAGGAGGGACAGAAAGATCTTCTATCTGCTGGTTCACTCTCCAGTTGGCCCCAGTGGCCAGAGCTGAGCTTATCTGAAGCAAGGAGCCAATGAACTTTTGGATCACCCACATGAGTGCAGGGTCCCAAAATCTTGGGCCATCCTCCATTACTTTTTAAGCCATAAGCAGGGAGCTGAATGGGAGGTGGAGTAGCCTGGACATGAGTTGGTGCCCATATATGATGCTGATGCTTACAAGAGGAGATTTGGCTAATTGAGCCATCATGCCAAGCCTCTGCAATTGCTTTGTATCCACATTTGCATGATCTTTTTCACTATAGCTTTGAAATAAACAGTTTAGTATGTGTTTTTCTTTCACTTAACATTTTAGTAACTCCTTAGGGAGTTAAAATAGTTTGTAATACTGAAATATATTCGGGTTTAGTGGCTATAAGTTAAATAATATTGAAGGACTCATGGTGATTTCTTGGATTTAATGAAAGTAGAGTTTTGATGTAAGAAGAACATTTTTTTCATTTATTAAAGTGGATTGAAACAGCAAGTATAAAGAAAAACATATAAGGGCAGAACATTGCCCAGAAACATAAAACTTTCTTGTATACAATATTTTCATTTTTTAAAAAAATTACTACTTTTTATGATATGGTCCCATAGGCTCAGGGGTATTCCCCTTTACTGTCCTCATTCCCCCAACCCCACACTGCTTTCTCCATGTTATTACAATATTATAGTCCCTCAACAAGTCCAACTTTCTGTCATTTAAGTGTATCATGGCATTGTATGTATAGACAATGATAAATAATCTTAACAGTTTTATTGGGAGTTCTCCTTTTATTTAGGAGTAGAGATACATACTGCAGTATATTTTCACTTCCCAGTATGCTAGTCTCCATTGTATTTTCCAATTATGCCGCTTTTTATTGAGTAAGGTAAAATGGACAAGAAAACACACCTGTTACTTGTTGATACTCGGGAATTTTTAAATTCTTTCTTCAACTAAAACTTTTCAGAATAAATAATGACTCTGAGAAAACAAATCCTAAGCAATTTTGAGTAATCACTGTAGAGAATTATATAATAAGGACCAATTAAGCATAAAATAGCAATTTATATATGGGCTAGAGAAGAGGAAGCTTCTGTTGCAAGATTGAAGATGTGATCAAAGTAACTTTGATTGCATCCCACAGATCCTCATGTGCAGAATCAAAAACTATGTTGTGATAATGAATCTAATAATTAGATTACCACTAGTAATACCATATATATTACCATCTAATATACACGGCATAGTGTATATGCCATGGGATAAACTTGTTGCTATTCTTTTTTAGAATATTTCAACAAATTCTTCATTTTTTGATTGTTTTATTCAAAGTCAGAGTTACAGAGAGGGATAGAGAGAGAGAGAGATCTTCCATCTACACCATCCCCTTGAATTATAAGGGAATAGTATAAACTTAGTTTTTTAGAATAAGAAAATAAAGACATGTGACTTTAAAAAGAAACAATAATTTCAGAAAAGATAGTGTTATAGTCTGTCTTTAGATGTCTGGATGACAGGGAGAAAGCAACCTCCTCAAATTCTTTTGGTTCAAACATCAAAAATAATATTTTCCTGGATATTTGTACTTTGTTCCAAATATTGCTTTTTGTTGTATTTTCAGTGGTGGTTGTCTTACATTAGTGCAAACATATGATATTTGTCTTTCTGGGATTGTCATTTTACTGAGCATAATGGTCCCCAGTTGGGACCATTTGGTTCCAAACAGAAAAATTTCATTCTTTTTACTAGCTGAACAGTACTGCATAAAATAGATGTTCCACAATTTCTTTGTTCAGTCCTTCTTCAACGGGTATCTAGGTTGTTTCTATGTTTTTGCAATAGTTGATTTTGCTGCTTTCTCATGTGTATGTATCAGTTCATTCCCCAGGAGCGGGATTGCTGGGTTTTATGGTAGATGAATTTTCAGTTGCTTGAGTATTCTCTATACTGACTTCCATATTGGCTGCACCAGTATATAGTCCCATCGGTGGTGGAGTAATGTACCTTTTTCCCTACATCCTCGCCAGCAGGTGTTGGTAGTTTTCTGTATGTAAGCCATTCTCACTGGGATTAAGTCAAACTTCAGTGTTGTTTTATTTGAACTTCCCTTATTGCTAGGGAGTATGAGCATTTTTTCATAAGTCTGTTAGCCATTTGGATTTGTTCCTTTGAGAAATTTCTGCTCATTTCCCTTACCCATTACTTAACTGGTTTGTTTGTTTTGTTGTTACTATATATCTGAAGTTCTTTGTATTTCCTGGATATTAGCCCCTCTATCTGTTGTGTAGTAGGCAAATTTTTTAATGTCATGATACATGCTAACTTCTGTCAAAATGAGAAATTCATGAAACAATTGCCAGGGTAGCTTAATATATTTACACTATGTCAGTATTTGTGTATCACCTACATCATACATATATGCATATTATGGGAAGCCAAATAAATGACATTATTATATATGTATGTGTATCTGAAATTGGTAACAACTTCAGTAATATGTTTTGTGTGAAAAAGAATTTCAAATTAACTTACAGAATATTTTCATGTCTATTTTAATGGAGATTTTGGTTTTCTCATTGTACTGTCAAGGAATTTTTGTTTGTTTCTTCCTCATATAAAGAATATTATTCTAATAGGCAAGTAAAATCTGTGTATAGAGAATGGAAGTAGAAAAGTTCGGACAACTCCCCTGGCCAAGGTTTACTGCAGATTCTGTTGAAGCACTGAGGTAGGCTTGGTCATCCAGTAGACCTAGGAAAATTTTCTCAACCCGGGTGCCTGGTTCAATGAAGCTGACAGTGTATCAGAGCCATCAAAACCATTCAAGTAACATCCTTAGAGTACTCTTCCCTACATTGGGGTTTCTAAGGTGTCATCAAATGGCCAACCTCCAACCCCAGGTGCTGATGTAGTCTGACAGCAAGCAGCAGCCGTCTCACTCCCCTCTCTGGGGACAAAGGAAAAAAAAATTGTAACATTTTTCCTACTCTCCTTCCTTGATACTTGGATCTTCCCCACTCTAACTGGAGGTCTCCATGGGCACGCATCCTTCTCAACTATATTAAAAAATCGAAAATCAAAAATAATAAAAAGTACCTGGGCAATATGTGAAAACTCTTAGCTAGCACATATTTAATGGAGAAAAGTTGGAGACATTTCTACTAAGATCTGGAAACAGACAAGAAGGCCCATTCTCACCACTGCTATCAATAAGCTCCTTTAGATTTTAGTCAGAGCTATTAGGCAAGAAAAAGCAATTAAAGGGATACAAAGTGCAAAGGAGAAAGTCAAACTATACCTGTTATCAGGTGACATGAATTTTTATAGAAAGGAACTAAAAGTCTCTACTAGAAGTAAAAAAATCTAAAAAATTTAAAAAGCCACTCAATAAAAAATATTGAAATATTTAAACAAATATTTTACCCAAGATGTCTAAGAATAGGAAATAAGCACTAAAAAACACATTGATCTTTATCATCCTTTGGAAAAATGCAGTTTCATTACAAGAAGGATGCTACTGCTTACCAATGAGAGTGGAAAATGAAATTCAAATATTAGAACTGCAATACAAGTAACTGCCAAGATTGGAAAATAACTAAAACAGTCTTACAATCATAGTATTTTCAGTTGGATATGCATTGAGAGTTTTGAATAACTTTTAGCATATATGTTCTGTATGATGAGCAACTCCACATATAGGTATTTGTGGAATTTTATCCACACAAATTTAGGTTAACATGAATTGTGGAATAAAATTTGATGGCAACTCTGTCTTTACTGGCAAACTACAAAAATATAAAATCTCTTTTCTTGAGTAAATGGGCAGATAAAGTTGTTGCACTTCTTCAACTTAATTTGGAAACATAACATGGAAAACATTAATGATACATCAGTCTCAATTTTGTATAATGTAATTAAATACATTTATTTAAAAGGTTATATGACGCTGGCAAGGATGTGAGGAAAAGGATACCCTAATATGCTGTGAAATATTTGAAAATTGTTCCATTATAAAATCAGTATAAAAAATAAAAGGTTACAAAACAAGCAAAAAAATAAAGACAGTATTAGAAATCATAAGAGAGTTTGGTAAAATTGCAGGATATAAAATCAGCACGTAAAAATCAAATAACCTTTGTATATGCAAACAAGTCCATGGTTGTTAAAGAACTTACAATGTCTCAAAGTTGAGAGCTTGATTAACAGAATGAATACAGCAGAAGACAGAATCTCAGAAATGGAAGACAACTAGAATGAAAACATGTAGTTCATCAAACAGGTGGAGAAAAACGTAAACAAAACCAAGAAGACCATACAGGAAATGAATGACAACATCAAAAAGTCAAATATCAGAATTATAGGCCTTCCCGAAGGAGTGGAAAGAGAGACAGGTTTGCTACAGGTACTCAGAGAAGAAATTAAGAAATTAAGGATGAGATAAAAAAATTTATGGAAACCAATGAAAACTCAAATACAACATTCCTAAACTTGTGGGACATCGCCAAAGCAGTGCTATGTGGTAAGTTCATTGCAATTTGTACTTATGTCAAGGCCCAGGAAAGACACCAAGTAAAGGAATTAAACATACACCTCCAGAAATTGGAGAAAAACAGCAGTAAGATGACCCTACAAGCAATAAGAAACAAGAAATCATCAAAAAAGTGAAGAGATAAACCAAATAGAAATAAAGAAAGATACACAAAATCAATGAATCAAAAAGTTGGCTTTTTGAAAAGATAAACAAAATAGATACCCCACTGGCCTGACTGGCAAAGAGAAAAAAAAGAGAAAACAAGAATTAATAGCATTAAAGATGAAAAAGGCAACATA